ATATTCAGAATAACAGTGGAAATTCATATATTGTCTGTGTGTGCCACTTTATGGGTAACGAGCAAAAAACACGGAGAGCAAAATCCTTTGAAAATTTTGGATAATTTTTAAGTGCTTCTGCAAATTTGCAGGCGATAAAGTTATTGAAAAGAAAAATTCAATTTGGATACGTTATAATAACGGGTAGGCGTGATAAATTTTCTCATTTTCTTATATGCAATACAACATCGCCCATACATACATATACATTGGAATTTTTATAGATTTATTTGCTCTCGTTGATGAATAGTTGAGCAAAAAACCCAATTTTTTATTCTTTTGAAAGCCAGAGGTGGTGTCTGTTTACGTAGTACTATAGTCGCGTTCCTCGATCGATTTTGCTTCTGCTCAATACCAACCTACGTCCGAGAACTTCCAATGTTTTTGCCAAATTTGAAGTTCATACATACATTTTTGCGACGCGGATATTTAAAAACAGACACTGCACGGGCGGACAGACGGGCGGACATATTTAAACCGATATAGAATTTTATGCCGATCAAGAATACATACACTTTGCGGGGTCTCTGAAGCTTCCTTTGTAAGCGTTGCAAACGTTTCGACAAAATGAATATACCCATCATCTTTTCGTGATGGCTATAAACATATGCACTAAAAAAGCAAGGAAAACTATTATGGACCACTTAAGTTAAAATGAAATATTGGCAGTTATCACCACGCGATGGATTCATTGTTTCGTCGCAATCACATCGATATGGTTCTATAAAAGCGGTTTTGGAAAGTAGAACGCTACCCAGCAAGGATTCATTTGGCTCAGGCAGCCTTTTTAGAATGTTTGAGACAAAGCCCATAATATACACATCTACTATACATATGTATATTTCCAAAAGATTTTTCTTCTGGTAATGTGTTTTCATAATCTGCACCGATGGACGAAGGATCTATTTAGTTTAGCAACCCATTTCCAACGTTTTTAGATCCAACAAATTATAGAGATCCAACAACATGTATATAGATACTTGACCAGTATCAAATTTTGAACTGATTTAGACGTGTCTGTCCGTCCGCGTATTCGTCTGTATAATGTCTATTTTTGGGCATTTGCCTGGCCATAAAAGTAAAGGTATGGACTTCAAATTTGGCAGAAACATTGGAATCTCTTTCACGCAGTTTGACACTGAAAATGCGTCAAATGGCTAGAAGGACACGCCCATAGTATTAAGCAATGTGACGAAACCTCTGGTTTTCAAAGGAATGAAAAGTTGACATTTTGTTCATTACTCATAAGCCACAGCAGATAAATTTACCAAAATTTAAACATACATTCTATGGGCGATGCTGGAGTACTTGTAGAAAAACGCAAAAATTGGCCGCGCTTCCTCAAGTTCATGGTGCGTCATAGTGTGACACTCAAAAGCTTGTAAGCAAGCTTCAGAAAGATCCCTTAAAGCATATCTTCGCCAGTTCTTCGCCAGTTTCAAATGGGGAATACACCTAAGCATGGCCGTCTGTTCATGTATCCATCTGCCCAAACACGTGTGACAAATATTCTCCAAAGAACCCGCTTACAACCCGCCCACATGCCTATATAACAAAAATTGTGAACACGTTTGCTTTTCCTGTTTTCTTTTTTTTGCTCGTTCCTCATAAGGCACAACACATACACCATACGAATTTCCACTTTTACTCTGACAATAGAAGAAATCGACCGTGCCCAGAGTGTGAAAGTGTAGTTCTTTTCCGTTTTTTTTTTTTTTTTTTTATCACCGTGATGGGTATAAAAGATTCGGTCACAATCGCATATAATTTTATTACTTGTCTTCCGTTAAGCTATTAATAAAATAAATGTTTTTTTTTTTTTTTTTTTTCTGAAAAATGCTTTTCCACGTCCGCTCTTCAAAAGCGAAGAATAGTGAACTTGGAAAGAGCGTAAGCAATTTTAAATGAGAATATTTTATTAAGTTAGAACAGTGCGTGGTATACGCAGTTGCACAACAAATATTACCAAGGCGTGAGCATTTAAATCTGCTAATATTTGCATTATTTATTATGCTTTGAATTTTCAATGGTAATGCCATTGTGTTGTGTATTTATTACATACCTTTGTTACGACACCCTTCGATATCTATTCTATCCATGTATATCCGTACACTGTACTGGTACACTGTGCCAGTGTTCGCAGTGCAATTGAGCTCTAATGCATTCACACAACGCGCAGAACTTTTGAAAATATCTAACAAAACAGGTTAACGACTTTATTTTCCACGTATCACAAGAGATCAAATTGTTGCTATTTTTGTTATTCATTAACTTAAGGCTTTTAAATAAATTGGAATTTTTAAATTTTCATTTGATTTTAAGATTTCGTCTATGTGCACGACGTGCTAAACGTCTTTTCATATATATCTTATGATTATTGCATGTGAAGGTCTTTTGATGAACAATTTATCAATTGTAACGGTAAATGTGTATACAATGTGTCACTTATTTCTACTTTATTGTACATGATTAGCTAAATTCGAAAAATACAAGTTGGAAGTTGACAAGCATTACTACTGTCATTGTTCGATTTGATTATTATTTATGGGTTTTTGGTTTATTTTTATTAGTTCATGCTTCAGACTTTTGACCCAAAAAAAAAAAAAAAAAAATGCTTTATATTTGTTTATTATTTGCATGTTCGCATTATAAAAAGCCACATGAGCCATATGAGATTTTAAAATGTTAGAGATAAACATATAATTTGTTTGTATGTACGAGTTGACAATTGAAATAAAACAAGAAACCGCAAAATTTACTTTGGTTGTTATAAATGCATATAATTGCATGACAGGCAAATAGATTCATTTTGCTTTTTAAGTCAATAGATTGAATATTTATAACATTTGATTTGATGTTATTTAACACTTGTCTATAAATTATCAATACAAAAACTTTAAAAACTATTGCAATTAATATCTTCATCATTGGCTTATCACACAAAATCACATATTAATATTGCAAACTACTTCAAGTCGGAGAGAGATTTAATGCACGTTTTATGCAATCAGTATCGCTGTGAAAAAGATATATGTATGTCAAATTTTACGATCCATGTGATCGATATTAGGCGGAAGTGTACATTAAAACGATCGCAAACATTTCAACGAAAAAAGTTTGAAGAAGAAAACCAATTACAAAAAAAAATATTTACGGTCTTTCTGTAGATGTCGTTCGCGGTTATTCTCTCCTACGTCCTTCTATGTCGCCCAAAATGCTTGACATTACAGATGATTTAAAAGGTGAAAAGTTCTCTCTGCTCACACTTAACGATTCAACTTGACAATGAATTGGATTCATTTTGAAGATGAGAGAAAATCTGGCATATCCTCAATACATTGACAACTTGTATACCCATCACCGGGGAATGAAGGATAAATTCATGTTGTTCAAACGCTTGTAATGCTCCAGAAGGACACTTCACTGATCCCACAAAGTATATATATATATATATATATATATGTATTCTTGATTAGCATCAAATCTCTGAATTAATTTAATCATATTCGTCTGTTTGTCTGGCAGAAACATTTGGAAGTTCTTGCAATAAGGTATTGGTATTGAAAATAGGAGGGCACCTCAGCTTCTCAAAAGAATAAAAAATTGTTTTAATGCTCATTACTAAGAAGCCCGAGCAATTAAATCTCCAATAATTTTAACGTATATTCTATGCACGATCCCGTAGTACCTACACGAAAATGGGAAAAGTCGTCCACGCCTATTCAAACCAATTTTCAAAAACGCGCACAGAAGCAAGCTCCAAAAATTTCGTAGCATATATAAATACTTGGCCAACTTCAAATTCAGAATGCATCTAATCAAGTCCATATGTCCGTCTATTCAACTATTTAGTGTCTGTGGTAAACACTCTCCCGTTCGCAAAATTGAAGATATCGCCCACAAATTTGCGAAAGAATTTGAAAATTGTCCAAACTATTTAAAGGACACGCCCACAACATCTATATGCCTATGCGAAAATGACTGGGAACAATTTTGTTTTCCGTGTTTTTTGCTCGTTACTTATAAAGCGCAACACCGACGCTATATAAATTCCCATTTTTATACTGAATATAGGGAAATACCGCCACCAACCGCCCAACCATGTATATTATAGCGCATGTAAATTTAGTTCTTTTCTCTTTTTTTGCTACGATCACGGTGATGGTCAGAAAAGGTTCGTTCACGACTGAATATAATTTTCTTACTTGTTTTTTTGTTTGCTTTTGAAAAAGCAACAATGTGTCGAAAGCCCATAATAATATGTGTCTGTTGTATCAATAAAATGCAGCAAGGATAAGTGCGTTTCCGTTGTGATTGTGATGACTTTTAAGATATCGTGTTTAGTCATAACATCTCTCACGAAATACACATGTGTAACGTATGTAAACATGGATGACCTAACAAGAGTACACATGACAAAATGAAGTCGCCTGTATATGTTCTCCATGCCGAACAATATACAGTGATAGGTAAATTAAATAACAATTATTTGCAGATAATATTATCAATTGTTACAAAGTTACATAATTCTCTTTAATATAGAAAGTGGTCTCAATCATGTATGATTAGCAAGACAAAGATTTAAAGCCAAGTTAGCTTATTTTTTGTTTATTAGAAGAGGCGTAGGCAACAAATATAATATATTACTAAGCCTAAAAGTAGATAATTCTTTTTTTTACTACAATAAGACATTTTTGTATCCTTTTTGTCTGAAATTATGTAAAAAGCTTTTATTAGAGAAGAAAAAAAATATTACAATTTAACTTAAGCAGTAACAATAATATTGGATGGAATGAAGAGAAACGCAGAGAGAAGAAACTACTTAATATGTAAATAATTTTTTTTTATAAAATATTTAATACTAAAATCGTGAATAAGTACTACAACAAAAAAAAAAAAAAAAAAAAAAAAAAAAAAAACGCATGAAATGAAACAGAATTAATTGAAAAATTACAACACAATTTTTACGGGAATAATGAACTTTTGTAATAATTTTATTTCAATTACTATTACTAATAATGACTTAAGACAAAAACTATATGTTTACTAACGACAATTCATGTAATCAGTCTGTAAATTTTCTTATTTATAATAATTGATAATAATAATAATAATAATAATAATAATAATGATAATAGTAATAATAATAAAAGCATTCCATATATCAAAAAGACTTAATAGCTAGCTACCAACGATCGAAAAAATTTATACCAAACAAAATAATTTCTTCCACAACGGTGGCGGAGTCGGAGGTAAGTTCGTCGGAGCTAAACCTTCCCAAATGGCGGTATCAAATACTTCTTTAACTTTATCCTAAAATGAGAAGAAATTAATTTAAATGCATTTAAGATAAATATTCACTTTAATTATTATTATGTTGTTAATTAGCATTAATTAAATGTTCAAATTATGAATGCTACATAATGGTAGAAAGGTACTATTGCTAAATTGATGAATCCGTCCCGGGCGCTACTTTTCTTATTTCACCTCTTAGTGGATCAATGTTAGCAAAATGTCTCTTCGTCGTCATTTAGGAAATAGAACGAGACCTCATTTGCAAAATGCAAAAATTAATATATATTAGGTGCTTGTTACTCATGAAGTACATGATCATTTTCTCACTTTCCATCATTTTCTACAACTTTTTCCTATCTTTTTAGCGACATGACGATAGAGTGACGAAAGTACGATCCATTTTCGCACTGCGTAAGCATTTCGAAAACGCTTGCCAACGCAAGCCATGTTGCATTGATCTAATATGACTCTACTCTATCGTTCATCAAAATACATGCAAGAACCTATTAATAAAGAAACTGTTTTTGCTAGAGATTGAAGTCGCTCTCACCAATGTTGAAAGAAATCTTAAGCATTTGAAATTTAATTCTTGAAAGTTTTGGAAAATTGTTTTATATAACTATAAGAGTCTTAAGTCATCGTCACCACTAATGGCTTCTACAATTAAATGTTTATTCGGAAGCACTTCTTTGGACTTTGTTGGCCTTGGCGGTGGATATGTAGAGTCACCAGAGAGCTTAGCATTTTTTCTTGTTTTTGCTCGTATTCTCTTTATTTAAAGCATTGAAAATCTTTGCATTTTCTGCAGCGTTTTCACTTTCTTTACAGCGTAAAGAATGAAAATATCTTGACCAATTATCTAACAAGCCTCTGATTGAAATATGTTTCGAAACCAAACAGAAAGATGTATATAAAAAAAAAAAAAAAAAAAAAAATTTCTTATTCACCTTAAAAGTCTTAAAATTGCTTTAACTACATACAAACTCTGGTTAATACATTCTTGCAATAACAAACAAGCTTTTAACTTCCTTATAACAAGCTTAGATTAGATATTAAAGTGACGAACGTACACTTTGAATGGTTTCCTTTCTATTAAAACTTTCTAATACTTTACAAGCTCGCGGCTTAAATGCTAGTATAATGAACGCTTTTAAGGTAAATAATTTCGTTTTTGAATGTTGCAGCGTAAACCTTGCTGAAGCGTATTTGTATGCATCCTATAAATATTCATTTTAAAGAAAATCCTACATGCAAAAGCAAACAACGCTTGAGCATAAGAAATACGTACCAAGTTAATGGCATTTTACGATTCAATTTATTATACATATATATATATATATATATATAAGCGCAGCAGTGTAAAACGAAAATTCTTGCATTTCCTGTACTACGTACATATACATTTAATGTTAACGTTAGTCACGATGCGGCTGTCAATTATGTAAACATGTCGCACAAAACCTATTGAAATATTAGGAACAAAAGGAAATGTGAAAGAGCTAATGTCGCTAAAAAACGTTTTTAGAGTCACTTCATGCGGGCGTCACTCTAAATAGATGAATACGTATCAATGAAATTAATATTAATTAAATATTAAAAATGAGTTTTCAATTTAACTGTGGCTTAGAATGGCATGATTGTCATTGCAACGGCCAAACATTGCATGCAAATTTATTACATAGCTATAAACGTTAAGGTAGCATATCCTCTTGATTCTGTATAGTATGGAGCATTTGCTCAGATACGATAGTGGTAAAGCAGAATACGGTTGCTTTTCCGCTAGAAGCGAAGTTTCCTTCTCGCTCTCTTGTATTTAGGTATACATCGTTAATGATTTGTTAACGCAACGAGCATGTAGAAAGGAAAAGAAGTTCTGCGCGACGTAATATTTTGCCAAAAATGCAATAATGTTAAACGACATTCACACGAGAAACTTAAAAGAAAAAGCTTCAGTAATACTTGCCTTCCAAGACTGATTGCCCGACTTCAAGTTAAGTTAAGCTTTAGGCATCTGAGTATTTAAACAATTACACTTACGTTAAAGAAACGCAACGATACGGAATAAAAAACTGTAAGAGACAGTTAGAGTAAACTGGCCAAAGGACCCCCCCTATCTTCAATCGATGTCTTCCATTCAAATACATCTAAATAGTATGCAACATTCTAATCGAATGCATAATTTAAATAGAAATATTAATATGGCAGATCATTTTCATGGGATACTTATAACCTGGGCATAGAAAAAGACCTAGCATTACCTATAGTAGAATTACCGATAGAAAATAGGAAAATAAAGGCACTTATCGAGAGATGTATGCTCAACAATTTCTTTAATTTCTCATTTTCTCTCTCTTTCTAATATATATAATATGTACATAAATAGAATAAAAAAGTTGTATATATATATATATATATAATGTTTCCGCCAAATTTGAAAGCAATAACTTAATTTTTGTGGCCAGGAGAATGCATACAATAGACACTGCGCAAACGGACGCACGGACATGCTTAAATCCATTCAAAATTTGATGCTGATGAGGAATATATACATACTTTGTGATGTCTATGCAGCTTCACATTTACTTTAGCTTCATATTATCACAAAATGAATATACCTCTCATTCCATGGGTGATGGGTATAAAAAGGCCCTTTCGGAAATGCATCGAAATGTTTGAAAGGCTTTGGACTGACTGAATAACTGCACTAAGCGGTGTGGTTTAAAGTATTTAATAGTCGGCATTGCCCGACTATAATGTTATTACTTGTTAAATTAATGAAAAAAGATAAATAAATAAAAACAATTGTAGACCGAACTGTGTTCAACATTATTGCAAATACAAAATATCGTGAAGAGTGTCTAAGCACATGGTATGGCTTTGCCAAATGGATGATAACGACCATAACAATATAATAGCCATTATTTGTAAAAAAAAAAAAACAAAATAATAATAAAAATTCTTAGTCAAATATATTCGTATCTAAAAACAAGCAAAATTCCTCGTTCCAAAAAAAAAAAAAAAAATATTTGCAAAAAAGAAATTTTTGAAATTACTTTATAAAACGAGAAAAAAAAGGAAATAAATGCTTAGATAAACAACAAGTAAACACACTATAGTAGATAGTGGCCCACCAACAAATACCCTATGTCATCCCACAGTCATTCATACAATGATTTTTGAAAATAAGGCCTTATAGGAATAGTGGTCCGATTCGGAACATTTTCAGTAGCGTTCGTACTTGGGCCAAAACTCATCAAGTTTACCAAATTTCATTAAAATATCGAGAAAAAAATCGCGGCCTATTGGTGGAACACAATAAAACATGACCGTCGGACGGAGTTTAGCAGATTGGCTTTGAACAATTTAGAAAAGAATTTCGTTATCGATTAACCAAAAGATTCTGAATCGTTTGGTATAATTAAAAAAGTTGGGTCTATCTCAACTCCTCCTAAGTGTTGCGAAAATTTCGTCTTCCATTTCGCATTTCTAAAAATGTTTCAACAGATAGGCTGAAAATCATACAGAAGTGAATTGTGATGATTCATCACAGTGAACCTGTGGAATCACTCAAATATACATGTCGATTGCGGATCGACTTGTTTAACGGATCCGTTATATTACTCTCATGGTAAGTGAGATTTTGAAATTGGGATTAAATTTTATAGATAAATCAAAAAAGCTATTGAAGAATATGTTGTGACAGTGCGCTTAAGCAGTTGCCTGTTTTTATAGCCAGCCACTCTAGAGTCATGTGCAAACGTTTAGTAAATCAGTCAAAGTAAAGTCATAAAACTACTATCGTTAACCTGAAACGTGATTTTCGGAATAATTAAAGGAAAAAAAAAAAAAAAAAAAAAAGAACAGGCACATAAAACCTCTCGCAATTATATGCAAGATTTGACATTTCTTTCTTGTCCTTGCTTTACACATTTTGATCAATAAAAATCATGTACGGGGAAGAAAATAAAACACAAAAATCCTGAAAACATTTCAACAATGTTTTGCGAGCTTTTTTACCTTTGTAAATTGTTGCGATTATCTTAAAGACATTAAAGACGTAAGGTCATGCAAAACTTATTTGATTCGAATAATGTCCCAAAATTTGTATTCAATGAAAGCTTAATATATATTAACTAAGGGGTTTCTTTTCAATAGTTTTTATGAAGATTTTTCCAACATCATTTATTCGCTTGAAAGTTGGTTAATTATCAGATAAAGATAAGACAGTCAGTTGCATTTCAGTTTACCTGTGTCGCTGATGAAGTCTCAATATACTTTGCACCAATTGTTGTTGCTAAGTCCCAAGCATCCGCATGTGAAATTGGCTTTTCTCCATTAGACTGTTTGTATGAAAATTTACGCCGACACATGTATAACATTTATAGCCGTCCGCGATGTGAACGAATAAATCATTAAAAATGAAAATAAAAAATAAAAAAAAATCGATAAATTTATTAACACCACTAACGATTATGCTCATATGTTATATATATATATATATATATATATATATATACATCGAGAAATCAAACTGAATAATTGACTCTAGTTTATATACGTGCGCAAGCACTCGACATGACTTTAATCAATATAGAGATAAATCTCTTTGACATTTATTCACTTACCTGCAGTTTATTCAGTACATTCGGATTGTTGCGCAAATCCGCTTGGGTGCCAACCAATATCAATGAAGCTTTTGTTTTTGCAAATTTTGGTGCCCATTTGTTTTTGATGGCGTGGAATGTCTTCGGTTTGGCTATCGAAAAACATAACAAAAACACATCGCTGTCCGGATAGCATAGCTCACGCAGCGGATCCAACGTATCTTGACCGGCTGTATCACAAAGTGTTAAATGTACAGGACTATCGTTGACCATAACATCAGCTGCAACCGAAAATTATAATAATAAGTTCAAAGAACATAACTAAATGAAATTATGATAATGGGGTGTAATTATAAAATGAAATTTGAATTTTGAATGAAATTATTACATACATATATATATATATATATATATATAAGCCTATTGCTTGTATTATAATGGATATAGGCTTTAGAATTTGTATAGTTGCGCTAGAAAAAGAAAACAATAAGTAGGGCCACTTTCGTCTTTCATTTTTAATTTAACTGGCTTTGGAACAAACTGTGTAATTTAAACTCAAAGACTCCTTTCATCTATACGATTTTATGTAAAGATACATGTAGGATATAAAAAAGATATTGATTTTTTTTTTTTTGTGATTGGCAAGTTTTTTAATCAGAAATTTCAATTTTCCAAAAAAACGTATTTTTATTAATATTTTGTTAATAAAAAAATATTTCAATTAACTTAACGAAAATGTCGCATACAATTTTCTCTAGCATGTTATTTTAAAATTATTGTGAACATGATTCGCATGAGATAAAAGAATGAAAATTATCGCTTGCTCTTTTGAAAAGTTGTAATTCAAGATAAACACATTTAAGGCACGAAAATGCAAAGAGAAAAATCGATCACAAATGGATTGACAATGGATTTCCTTTCGCATATTGAAGCCACCCATTAAATTATTATTAAAAAGTAATTCCTTTTCAAAAGTCTGCAATGGCTTTTTTACTTAAAACCTTCTATAAGCTAGTTGTGGCTGTGCAATCGAGGATTTCTCTGCAATAAAACCGTCAACCGACTTCACCCAGGGTGTGATTTATTTTGTCTTTTAAATTGATTGAATTGCGATCTTTCCATCTTGTCTATCCCTGCAAGATCAGACAGTCAGGATAGCATATTCAAACACTAAACTTAAACTGTACATTAATTCGTCCTCTTGATCTGAATACCTTTTATCAGCAATCATCAACATTTTCCAGGATTACATTAGCCAAAAAAAATAAAAAATAAAATTTTATACTAAGAATAGCAATAATTCTTAATTATAACACGATAGTGCATGTAAAGTTTCCTTTTCTCAATGAAATGCATAAGAAAAAAACTATTATTTATTAAAAAATGATTTCATTCATTGTAACATATTTGAAATTTTTTCGAGAAGACGAATGACTTGACCGCAGGTATATTTTTAGCATTTTATAAATTCTTCTTTGATTTAAAACCTCTTGGTAGGTCATTACCAAACATAACAAAACGAAGTGCAAACTACATTTTGTGTCAAGGCAAAAAACAGAAGAAGAAACAAACGAAGAAAATGTATACCAACGCTTCGTTGACAGAGTCTTTTGTGAGCTTAATTAGGAAGGAATGAATTGCTAATTCATTTATAACAGCAAAATCTGTACGGCGCATTTGTATGAATGAAGTTATTAAACGATCATCGTATTATAAAAATATTACAAATTTCTTCGGAAAATTTGCTTTCATTACTTTTTGTTATTTTTGTTTACTTTTAGCCGTAAATTTAATTTTACATTTTCTCCACTATCCCATGCAAGCATTTTATTTCTTTACTTTTTTCTTATTATTATTTTTTTTTTTAACATTTTTAACTAATTATTCATTTACTCCTGAAAATGTAATTCCTATAGCTACATGCTTCTATTATTATCCGTAACGTTCTGCTTACGTTAACGTTCTTCATATTTTTTACATATATACATATATATGTATATGGTACATGCATTATGGAATATCGTTGAAAATAGTAAATTTTTTGTGAATACTTAAGTAAAAGTAAAAAAAAAAAAAAGAAGAAAAATCTCAGTAACCATAACAATATCATATTACAGCATATATGGAGAAGGCATAAGGCAGGCTGTCAGTATACTATTGTACAAACACATATATATTTTCATGGTATAAGTGAATGGAAATCATACGATGCCACTGCAAGTATGTTGAATTATTAACTTTGCATTGTAATGATGTTAGATGAGTACATAATGGCAATGAAGGTTAAATTGTGTTGCAAGGACGGTTGTTGCTTTAGTTGAACAGTTAAATAACTTAAATACGCTTTCAATTTAATCAGTTATTTTAGCAAGGTAAGGCTTTTTGCTTGTTTTTTCTTTTCTTTTTTCAGGTATGAAAGGCTTGTAATTGCTTTCTTTTATTATTTCTGTGTTTTCAAGTTTTTTCTAAGGCAACTTAAGGTTGTGCTTTTAAGTGAAAAAGTTTAATTAAAAACATTGTAATTTAGTAAGCTTCATAAATGAAAGTATGAAAATTTTTATGTCCTTGCTTCGCCAGCTTCTTGAAAAATGTGAAACTATAATATATTTTGAGAACCCTTAATAATATTTTTCTTCTTTTTTTTTTTTTTTCATAAAATTTTCAAAAATATTCGATAAAAAAATAAGTGTTTAAATTTTCGAATTTTTGTTGTTGTTGTTGTTGTTGTCTCTTTTGTTGTTTTTGTGCGACAATTTAAATATAAAAAACAGGAATTATTTAAAAAAAAAAACATTGAAACATGTCAACACCGAAGTCACACACGGACAGTGATTGCAAAATTACTGATTTTTGTGGAGTGTTGATCACTATTGTAATGAAAAATTTCAATATTTAGTGAAAAAAAAAAAAAAAAAAAAACAAAACACAATCTCTTGTTAAAAGAAAATGTTTAAATTAATTTATCAAGTTGTAAATCCACAATCACAGAATCATAAAAATACCCGGGCATGTACACATATTCGCCAGTGAAGGTTTTTTTACATCTGTCAAAGACGGAATCGCACGTTTCACACACTACGTGTTGCAGAATGTCTGGGAAAACAGCAACAAAATGTGTAATTCTGTAGCCGAATTCATAATTACTATTAAGAAGAATCTTTTATTTTTTTTTTTATGTGACCAATCACTTAGGGGATTGTCCATTATTCATTTAATGTGGTGACTATTTGAAGGAAGAGAGAAAGGAGACAGGAAGAGGAAGGTGACAACCGCAGCCTAGTCGACAAGTGACAAGTAGTATGCCTTTACTGACTGTGCCCTCACTGTAGCTACGATCAAAGAAAACTCTGCCGCACTTGATTTTTAAACCAACAAACACTGACCTCGTAGTCGCGTTTCTTATCGATTCAATTACTCAGACGGAGAAAAAGTAGTCAGGCCAAACTCTTAAGTTTTTATAAACGCTCTCAGCCAAAGCTACCCTTGCGTATTCTTGTTTGAAGACGTTTTTAAATGAACATAAAGACTTTTGAAACAAATCCATTGATTTGTATATTGGGAGAGTTAGAAATCAACAAGTAAAATATTATGTTAGAGTTTTCCAGCAGCGATTCATCTGTGAGCGCTTGGACAATATCTTCAAATTTTCATTAAGGCAATGAATCTCTTTCCATGTATTCTATCTACTAATATAAAAACAAAAAAAAAAAATGAAGAGATTTTTCAAAAATTCATAATGACATTTTCCCCTCTTAACCGTACTTAACACGTTTTCTGATGACTAAACTAAAGCCATTTTGAATTTGCATTTATCGCAATCAGTTATTTATAGTAAAACTTTTCTATTTATTTTCGGAACTAAAAAAAAATATAATAAAGAAAAATATTGAGTCTTTGACTTACGAAATATCGTTAAATGTCTTGCAATAATTGTAAAAATGGATGAGAAAATCGCTTAGAAATGTTTGTTATTAAATATGCAAAGAGATTTCCGGCAAATTTGCTTTGGTTAATATTCCGGTTATTATTACCATATCACGGGATGATTATGTTTGAAAAATTTCAATCTTTACGATGCTGTGTTGACTAGCATATGGGTGATAAAAAGGATGATGCCTTGGTAAGCTGAACATTAGCCGGCGAACCAATTTCAAACCAGAAAATAAAACTTTATATCGACGACTATTAATTTATGCGTCGATAACTCTATGGACTATGGAGAAATATTCGAATCTCTAGGGAATGGTATCGTTAGACAAGGCGCCAGATCTATAGCGTTTGTATTTGAAGTAGCCTGAAATTCAATAGTAACTGCCAGAGCTTGTCAAACGAAAGACTATTATATGTCTGTCTTACAATGACGCATTAATGTTGCGCCGAAAATTGAGAAAATCTAAATGAAGCCGAGGCTAACTATTGATTAGATTGATATCGAAAAACGGAGTTAAAAGACTTTAAGCATTGTTTTATTTCTTCTGAAAACTATGCAAGTTTTTTAGAACCGAAGTTATGTGCATCGACCGAAAACTATCGCGAGTGTATTTCATTTGCAATAATATTAAAAGTGCTCCCTTGTATTGGTTACCAAAATCTCATAGTCTCATATTTTACATGTTCCAGTTGAATAGATAAAATTATTGTGACCTAGAGTAATAGGCGCTTGAAAATATTTAAATATGTTACAAAGTTCGCAAGTCGATTTACATGATTATTTCAATATATATTTGAATTAATATTATACTTAGCGTGCAAATGTAGGTGGCCGGATGTTTGAAAACATGCAACAACACAAATCATCCAAGAAGTTGAATTTTAATATTGCAACTAATTGAAAAAAAAAAAAAAATAAAAAACCATAATAAACACATACAAAAACGCACAAACAAAAAAAAAAAAAAAAAAGCATATGAACCGCACACACACATACGAACACACAAAGTGCAGGCAAAGTGAAGGCAAAGTCAGAATGTAAAGTGAATCATGTAAAGAGAATGCAAATCCATAAAAGATGACATAGACAACATTTTGAAAACAGGAAATTATATTTTAATGCATAAGGAAACGGAAATGCTTAATTTCGAATCAAACAAATTGCAAATGGGAACTGTATATAAAATGAATGTTTTAGTTAAACGTTTCCTTTGAAGTGATCATTTAATAAAAATTTATGCACTTTTAAGTGAATTACATTTTATGGCTTAAAATTTTTTTCCAGTTAAGCCCTTTTATGAAAATATGTAATATTTTATGATTGTCGCATGCACACAATGGATATATGTATACATGTATATGGATATATGGCTTGTATACTTGTGCATGTAGAGTTTTTCAATTTATTTCATCAACTCGGCTCAAGTCAACACAGATCCTACAAATATCCTATGAGCTTATATACACACATATACACATACACATCTGATATGACCTTCTCTTGAAGTATAAATGATGGCTTTAATGGTTCTTTTATATATACATATATATATATGTACATATCATAACATAGGCATCGCACATAAGCTGTAAAGTTTTTGACTACTTCTGTTTGAAGCAACAAAATTTGTGCAATAAAAACGGAAAAAGAAGAAAAAATGAAGTGAAAGGAATAAAAGAAAAAACATTTAAGTATACATATATATATATGTATATATATATATGTATGTATATATGTAAAAGCAAAAGTCAGTGGCATATGAGGCCCAAAGCATATATGAGCTCATGTGCACTTTTTAAAGAAATTTTTACACTCGCACATCATGTAAATGTTTACAAAATGCGCGTTAAACGAACATAAATAAGATTTTCATGTATAACGAAAAAACAAAGCCCGGACCAGCGAGCCTTCAAATCGCATAGGAACTTTGCTTAGTCTATATTTAAGCGAATATTTCTTTATTTATTTGTTTATTTTTCTTTTTTTTTGACAATTTTTTTTGGCATGTCATTAAGTGTTTGTTGCCGTAATACGTTTGCTGGAAAATAAATCATTCCTTTTGCGATTTGGAAAAGTCTCGTTATTTTAAATTAGTTTCATTTTTATTTTCATCAGGATAATAAACTGCAGATCAAAGAATATGACCCTTAAATATCATGTTAACTTGTCCCGAATATTATTCTGATCTAAGAGAAAATCTAAAGAATTAAAATTAGATTGAATTGTAATTTCAAAATAATACCACTACTAGCATTAATATCTACCGGCAATTTCGCAGTCAATCATACCACAAAGCAGCCATGGAAAGATCGTAAAGTAAAAGTGAAATGATTTTTATAAATCCCAGTCTTAATCTAAATGTATATCATATTTTCGGACATATATAGTGTTTTGTGTGTTATCTGTCTTTTATTTAAAACTTTTGAAATATTGATAAAATGTTTACCTAATTGCGTTCATCGCCGAAGAGACTTTAAAGACCCAGTACAACAAAATACCGGAGAGTTGTTAGCATTTTATTATTTATTTAACTATTAGTCACAAGTATGGGCAGGGATCAAAAAGATTATCGTACAAAAGGGTTATCGTACTTATAGTGTTTTATAACGAAACCAGGTTGAAAAAAGTGATTCCGTAGGAGCGTATGTACTCTGCTTACTGTGAAGTACAATATGTTGATCGATTTTTATTCTTTTCTTTTTTTTTTGTGCAAAAATATAACTATTAGCAGTAGCTTGTTATGCTCTTTAGGTGCTCTAATGTTATAACTTATATAATATAAACTCTTTCGGCATTTTAGTCGGCACATTGTGAGGTGAAATGAAAAGATTACCTTACCGCCGTACACACGTAGTCACGTGAAAAAGACAAAAGCGGTGAATATTTAATATGTAATTGAAATGAATTTTCCTCTTCTTTTATTATTTAACGAGAGAGTAACCTTCGACGTAGTTAAACGAATGAATAACAGATTAAACCGACATATAACCAGTAAATTAAAGGAAAATGAAAGCTTTTATGAAATGTTCAAACTATATTATGCTGATGCTGATGCTGTAGCTGAGGCGGCTATGGGAAAGTAAAATAAAACATAACTGCATACAGGCACGATTAAGGAAGCGCTTGTATTCGGCCATAGAGCTACTGCTGTAAATACCATATGTAATATGTACAGTGTATGTGTAATAATTGAAAACAAAAGATCACAAATTGGTTTTCCTGCTCTTTCATGAAATGCCATGGTATGCATGGTGTGCAATAAAAAAATTTTCGCTAAAAATATGATAGAGATATATGCATATCTGTAGGACATAAGAAAAGAAGGAAATATCAAATAAATGAATAATGAAAAAATTGTTGTGTCTTTCTCTATGTAGTGCTATAGCTTTAGAAAAGATTTTTGCATAAATTATAAATGTGTGCATATTCGTTACGCTTACCGTTATAAATATCTGATGCCGTTGGTATATGCTCGGTATTGAAACGATTCTCCAAATATGAAAGTATCAAATTGGTTTTCCCCACGGCGCAATCCCCTACTAGCACGCATTTGATGGTGGGCTTCTCAACTACAACATTGAACGGCTTGCCGTCTACATAGAGCGAGCGAGCGAGCGAGCGAGCGAAATAGAAAACGAAACGAATATAAAGATGAAAAGGACGAGAAATAAGAAGAAGAATGCAGATAAATTCATGAAAAACTAATTAAAATACATTTTATATATTAAAAGCTTTAAACTCCTTTCGCCATTGAGAGAAAATAGTAATTAATTAGTAAACCGTAATAGGAAGAAATTTAAAATTTCTTTCTAACAAGGAATGCATAACAACAACAGCAGCAACAACAAGCACACAGCCTCAAACAATACAATACAATACAAAAGCAATGCATTGTGTATAACTATATATAGGAAACAATGCAACATTTTAAAATTAGTTTTTAATTCATTTCCACTTTGTATCTTTCTTTTACGTTTATTTGGTGGCTGTTTCTCTTTATATATAACTTGGAAGTTTTTTTTTTTTTTTTGCAAGCATATTGTTGTTGTTGTTGTTGTGCTTTCTTCGTTCAACTTTTTACACAAGTGCTTACTACTTACCTTTCGTTATTTTCTTTGTTTTACGTTTTCTTAAAAGAAACTTTGTGGCGCCTTTAGGATCTCCATTGCTGTCATTGCTGGTGCTACTATCATCACGAGTAGTCGAGCTGGTATCACTATTACTGGTTTGCTGCGAAGAAACAGAAAATTTACATCAATAAGATCAATAAGAGAAATGTAAATATTTCCTTCAAGAATGTAAAAAGTTGCAATATTTTAAATTACTTTTCTCCTCATCGATTGTAATCCTTAGGCGAAAAAAACAGAAGAAAAAAAAAAAAAAAACAAGTGTGGAAACTTTATTTGCCCTAAGGTGCAAATCTTGGTTATTCTCTCACTATCTAAATTTATAATATGCATATATGTGTGCGTTAGTTCAAGTGAGTTTATTGCAAATAACTTTTGATAAACTCTTTGTGTGTAACACAAATGCACGAGACAATCACCTTGCAGGTGACTTAAACGTAAACCCAAGGTAAAAAAAGTGTATTTGCAAAAATATCTTTTCCAAGCCACGTACAAGCTTCATATTGCTTTAGGATGATCTATTTATTTTATTTTTATTTTTTTTTTTTTTTTTTAGTACATACGCCAGCAAAGAATTGTCATCGTAATATAAGGAACAGAACTCAGAAACCATAGACCAGACATATCATGGAGTATTTTTAAATGAATTTAGTTATGAGAGTTGATTTAATTCATCTCTTTCTGCCTTGCATTGCGTTGAAAAGTAGAGCGACAGCGCATGACAAATAGCCATAAATATGGTCGGATCCAATTCGTTATATCCTGCACAACTGATGGTAAAGTGTATAATAAGTTTGTGCGAATGTGTGTAACACCCCGGAGGGCTGAAGATAGTCGCGCCTTTTATTATACTGAAAATGATTCTGAATCGATTTAAGCCCAGCTGTCCGTCCGCCCGTTCGTCCGTCTATGTAATTTACATTCGGATCGGTTCACTTCTTCGCCGACTCCCGATGTCACGTTCTATTTTAAAAAGCTGGTATGCTGGTATGCGGCTATGAGTTGTGATTTGCAAAAAATTGCCTACGATATCTTTGCGACATTTCAACGATATCATATATATATCTACGCTTTAGATGGATAATATATGAAGATTTTTTACATATTATCTAACACTGTATGCAACTTCTCTCTTTGTCTTCTGCATTTTGTGTCCCATTTATAGTTACATATTAACACTCGAACTATCCAATACGCCATTTTCAGCCATCTGTTTAGTTTTTAATGTTCAAACTAACGGTTGTTAAGCAGATACTGATTGCTCTTAACCTTTTTGATGTAAAGATCTTTAAATACCCATAGCCACTTTTTTCTACGTAGTCTAGTTTGCGAACTGCCAGCGACATATATGTATTCTTATCAAAAGTGATCATTTTGATGCGCTTGATTTTTGTCGCTTTGCCGCACTCGTAAGCGTAAAAAATAGGAATCTGAAGTTTGGCATAGACATTCCTTCAGCGATTAGAAATGTAAGGTGGAAAAGTTGGCGTAATTTGTTCGTAAGCATGTCCGCAATATGGAAGAAACTAAAGCAACATGGGGAAAATGACCGACATCTCTTTCACATTTATCGATCCCGTGAAGATATTTCTGACAATCTATTATTAATATGGCTCACAATTTGCCATAAGATTTTAATTTCAACTTATCTCCAATTTCTTTCCCATTTATCCTAACGCATCTTAGCATTGTGTTTTATCTAATCATGTCCGTCGGTTCATATCTCCATCGATCGGTTTGCGCAATCGTGTAGCGTCGATGATCAGCATTCTCAAATTCGCAAAATAAATATGTCGCCTACGAATTGCAAAATACCAAACTAATGAAAGGTCAACACGTCTATAATGCCCACACTGCTCCTATGCGACAAAAACGATGAACACTTTTGACTTTCGTACAGTTTACTTGTTACTCATAAAATACAACACATAGGCCATAAAAAAATTCTACCATTATTCGCAAAATGGTAAAAATCAGCCGCGCCCATCCAATATTATAGTGGTGTATGCAGTTAGTCGCTGAAAGGAATATAATTTTCTTATTTGTTTCATATTCAAAAGATCCTCACATTGGATTCATAGAAATCAATTGAGAATATTTGCAAATTGAATTTTCGCAAACTGTTTAACCGCAGAGATCAATTCATTGTCCTACGTTCATAAAGATTGTGCAATCAGTGATGCATGTTTTCAAGTGCTTTTCAAGCAATGAGAAACTTTCATCCTTCACATACAAATGCATACAAATGCAAATACAAAAATTTCATGAATGTATATATGTCGTTCCGTGTCAATAGATTTGACTTTGAGAATTCAGAATTTCAGAAACTCGAAATGAAAGCCGCATAGAGAAGTTGTATTATTTTGCCACACAGCAGAGTAGGTAAGCAATTCATCTGTTGTTAATTTTTTGAATTCGAGAAGAAGGAGAAGTTATTCTATTGCTGTTTTTTTTTTTTTTTTTTTTTGAATTTAAGTTCTTTTACAAAACAAAACATGACACGACCTATTTTCAAGTATTAATCATTACTAGCCGTTGTTGTTGTTCGTACTGCAATAACTTGAACTGTCGTAGATAGATTAGGTATATATATTAAGATCATCCAAATGACACTAACTCGAAGATAATAGTCTAAAAATGGCCAGTTGAAGCAATCAGACGGAATGTGCTTAAGGTTTTTTGGAAAGGAAAACACATGTCTTCTCATTGTTGATGGATATGATGGACCTGTTTGCAGACATTTTCACATAGAATAAGTTCTTTATCGATGTTCATGATCTCTGCTGTACTAATACAATCTATACCCTATCCAATAGGTATCACATTAGTTTTTATATCAAAGCGTATGTATGGCAAAGGTGAAGAGTAATCACTATTGCGCAGACAGACATGCATTTTTCTACCAATTTAAAATTTCACGCTGATCAATTCTTAACGATGCTTTGCTCATTTCTTATACCAACAACGAATGTTTGAGAATTTTCGCATATGTTTTTCACCATTAAAATTTAGAATTTTCAAACCACCGAAAAAGAAAAAAAAAAAAAAAAAAAAAAAAAAAAAAAAAAAAATAATTAAATAAAAAAAAACAAAAAAAAAAAAAAAAAAAAAAAAAGCAGAAACACAACTAACAAAAATCGGCTTCACAAAGTATTAACTTGTTTGTCTATATGTTATACTTGTGTGTAATGCATATACAAAACGCCGTAACAAGTACAACCTATGTGCATAGGTAAGAAAATCTTTTCACACAATTTAATATGCGCATATAAATTAGCGGTAAATGTATGTGTAGAAGTGTTGATAGTGCGGTTTGAAGTTTTCTAAGAGGGAGAAATAGAGAGTATGCACAAAGATAACATCGGCATCAACATAGAAACTTTGAAACACATATTCCATGCTTATACTATACAAGCACGCATACACGCCTATATATATATATATATATATATATATTCGGCGATGTTGCATATATTTTGAACAAGAGTTTTCGACACATTGCGGCTTAGAGCATCTAAAGCGAAATGCATGAAACCAACAACCATTAGCTGAGTAAATGAATTTCTGTTGAAATTTTCGTTTGTTGTTTACTGGCATTTTATCATTGTATTATGATTTCTCTAAGTAGAAGAAGATTTACTGTGTACACTAAATATATATATTAAAATCTATGTATATATCCTTTTGCCGCAAACTATAAACATACATTTTATGAACATAATCATAAATTTCATGTATAAACATATGATTAATGCTCTCAGCCAGCATTACTTTAATACTAAATAAATCTGTCGATGTGAATATCTGTCTATTCGTTGTATACTTCTAGTGTTCGCGTGCACACGCTTATACGTTAGTTTGCATGTTTATGCGCCTATCTTTATGCTCTAACACTTTAACCATATTGCATGTTTGAATGCCTTTCATTTTGGCAGTCACGCATAGTTCATAAATTAATTCTGTGTCTTTTCCACTTTCATACTACCTCATTTACGCCACCATCCATCCCCCGCATTCCACTCATGCCTTTCCTACCTTGAACGTGTCGTACATTTTAATGCACTTTAGACTACATCTCTATATATATACATGTACATACCTTACATATATTAATTGTAGGGTATATGATAAATTGAAATTTTTTTTTTGCTTTTTTTTTTTTTGTTTTAATTAAGATTATTACCCTCTACCATCGTTTGTTTATAAATACGCATACATTTGCGCATCGAGAGTCGTATATGTTTGCATTTCCCGCTAAATAGAAAAACAAAGTCCTTTCAAGTGTTAACTCTATATTTATTGCACTTAACACCGTAATACCATTAAATGTATCAATGCGTCAACAAATATTCACACATTAATCAATACGGGTATGCATGTATGTGCACAGACTCCTGTATCTGTATTTAGGAATTGGTTGTTTTTTTATTTGCTTTTTTTTTTCTTTTTTTTTTTTTTTTTAGCGCACTTCCTGCTATTATATATATTTGCAAGCATTTTCAACATTATTTCTATGCCAAATAAACATGTTACTATTATAAACATGTTATTGTTATTTAAAAAACATACATATATATATATATTGATATATGAAGTTCAATAAGTAGGGCTTAGAACGGAATGCAATGATTGACGTATTTGACGATTTGTATGTGGTAGGAGAGTGTTTTCACTTTTTATATATATAAATGGCTAATTTGCTAAACCTGAGGTACTTCATAAAAATAAAAGGAGAGGAAAGCGATAGAATTGTTTTTTTTTTTTTTTTTTTTTTACATTTCTTTACACCGCATAAATTATGCGTATTTTTTGATAAAATTCAAATTTAATTAAAATCCAGTAAGAAAACCATAGTTAGAGGCCACGCCTCACCATTAAATATCCTACACCAAGCTGCAAATATTCATATAAAAACCATTCAAAACAAGACGTTGTAAGGAAATTGGTTCAAAAAGAGGTGCAATACGAGCCATATCCAATAGGAGTTGTCGTCGCTTGCAAGCACGTCATTGTACAAAATTTCATCAAAATATGAATCAGCAATTGCGATCTGTAAGCTGAACATAATGATAAAAGGTGCGCCGATTTCAAGTCCTCTTATTT